AATTACTCTAAACATTAGTAATACTAGGAGAAACATAGTATATAATTATATTAAACTTTATTACTAAATTATCTAAGTCTAGAGAACTTCTTATAGATATAAACTTTAATAGTATACTTATAGTAAATAATATCTTAATAAAATACGCGCATTTTATTCTATATAAAGAAGTATTAATAGTAGAAAAGTTAGTCTACACACTTTATAAAACTATTATTAGCTAATATAGAATACTATTAGAAATACACTTAAATAGAGATAAATTATTTATATTATAGTTTTAGTAATTACTTATAAATCTTATAGGAGTTCATTAGAAACTATTAATAGTATTTCACTTATAGAGTAATAAGTAAATAGAAAGAATAAATTAGACACTAAAATAATATTTATAATATTATATTAATTTCTAATAGAATAACTAGGTATTATTATTACTAATTATATAATTTACTTATAATAATAGTACTTTAGCTATAGAGATTTCACTATTTTATGCGAACTATAGATACTACTTAAGGATTAAGAAAGATATAAGAGATATTAAACCTATTATAGAAAAAGTAGTAATCTTAGTTAAGAAACTATAATCTTTACATAAATTATTAAAATAGAAACTCGAAAAAATATTATAAAGAACACTTAAAAATATGAATAAATAAAGATTTAAGGGACTAGATTTTAAAGAAAGAGAGATAATATACTTTCTTAGAAAAAACATTAAAATATAAAGACTATTTAATAAGCTAAATTATATTAAGGTTAGACCTTATAAAGTTAAAAGAAAACTTAGACTAGTGATATTTAAACTAAAACTATCTAAGGAAATAAATATTTACCTAGTGTTCTATAAATCACTTCTTAAAAAAGTACCGCTAAACGCTAGACTAAGGCCAGTACTAATACATAAAGAAATATAGTAGTCACTATATAATATTAAAAGAATCTTAGATCACTTTAGAATTAAAGGAAAAATACACTACCTTATTAAGTAGTTAGAATATAAATTAGAAGAAAATACCTAGGAACTAATAAAATACCTTTTAAGGAATATACTCTAGTAATATAATTAGAAAAGAAAAAGATAACTTACTAATAGTGTTTAATAGCTATAAGGAATAATTAATTAAGATAAAACCTAAAAAAGAAGACATAAATCTAGGCTCTAACTTAAATATTTACTCTAGTTAAGTATTATTTAGCCCTATAAGGACTGTGAATAAAATAATTAGAGAAGGATTTATATAGTCTAGCTTATCTAAGGACTTTAGCTCCTAAACTAATATCTTCTTTTACTTATTTAATAAGTTATTAGTCTCTCACTATAATCACTTTTATTTAGTATTAGCTTTAGAAAGAGTAAGCTATATATCTATAGTCTCTACTAATATTCTTTAAATATTCTTACCCTTTTAGTGAGTAGCTTTAGCTAAATAGTTATATTATATAGTTAGCGCGTTAAATTCCTCCGTAGAAAACGTTTTATCACACTTTTTTATACCCTTCTTAGTGTAGAAGAAACATTTTAAATAATTATTTAATATGAAATATAAAGAGTTTAAGTTCTGATAAGAAGTATAATGATTTATACTAATTTTCTGGTGACTAAGGGTCTTAATATAGGAAATAGCGATATAATGGCGGGAGATAAAAGAATAGCTAACTTTTAAGACTTAGAACTGAGGCATTATTAGCCATGAAGAAGAGAAAGAATAGAGAACATATCTAAGGGAATAATATCTACCTTATGTATGTTATGAATAACGTATAAGGAAGAAGGGAGAAAGTGTTACGAACAGGCCTAGCCTATAGACTGCAGATAAAGCTGTGATAATAGCTATTAACCCTATAAGGTAGGAATACTAAGAGAAGCTTAGGGTAACTAAAGTTAGGGGTTACATAATTAAGGGTGATTAGCTACGCTTAGTTATAATTAGTAGTGATTAGGCTAAGTAATACTGAGCACTACTAAGCACCACTAAGTATAGAGAACTATATATGCACAGTCATTACATAGCTTTATTACGTAGTTAACTTCGTTCATAATTATATCTATACATTTTGGTTATGATCACTTCGCTTTTAGTATATTAGTACGCTTAATATACTACACGCTCTCAGAGACATTATCTCTCTTATACTTCTCACTTGCTAAGAAACTCTACGTGTTGTGACACCCTAGGTAAAGCGAAACGTAACACGCATGTCTTAAATGCACCTATGGAAACTAAGGTTAAATCTTAGGAAGTGCGACGCGTTTCTTCAGAACACGCTCTAACCCTAAGTAAAGTCTAGGGTTACGTGTTATCACGTGAAATTGCGTCGTACTTTCCTAAAAGTGCGATGTACTTCTGCTGAGAATGATGGGGCGAAATTAGTAGAAGTGCGACGCGTTTCCACTGAGAATGTAGGTACTAAGTGGCTAGAGTGAAGGTGAAGCCTAATAGGGCTTAAATAGCGAATATTATAATAAAGCTACTAAGTGCCTAGTAGTAGCCTAGTATATTATGGACTATTCTTTATGGAAAATATTCATTAATACTTAAGATATAGAGGTTTACCTGTTGCTAGCTGTACTTGACCAGCTTACTAGGGACTCCCACGACGAAACCTTATACTTGATAGTAAAGACAACAGAAGTAGCTAACGGTTTTAAAGATGTTTCTAATTAGCGTTATGCGATTGCGGTGAATCTCGCGTGTTAGTTCCTGGTGAAAGAATTTGGAGAAGTAAATCCACCACAAACCATGTGCTATATCGGTTCTAGTGACCTTCGATACACCTTGTTAGCTTTTGCTACCGCGAAACGTAAACCTCTGAAATCGAGACAAGCCCTAGCGATAGTGACATTGGCTTCGGGAATCCTGTACATAGTCTCAGCGAAACATTCCGTCCATAGTGAAGCCAGCATTATTATCTTAACACCACGCACCTGTTGTTCCAGAAGTATGAAGGATGATGAACGGCTTGTCATTAGTATCTTGGTATGTCTTGGTAAATGGGTAAATTAACACCAAGTCTCCCTCGACCCAGTCGTCTTCTTCTGGTGCAATGACATGCCTTATTTGCAGATACTCTATCACAGATTCTATGCCAGCCGAAGCCAAAGACTATGCTTATTGTCACTTCGGGCCCCTGTCAAACATTGAGATGCAACCGCGAAGCGACAACCTTTACGAAGCGGCTATTAATCGAAACCCGAATGTGAGAAAACTCAAGGTTACTTTCTAAGATACCCTAAGGCAACGGAGTAGTCAAATCGCGTGCTCATACATCAGGACTAGCGCCGTCCTCGGCGCTGCTGGCGATCGGTACTCGCAATAGCCAATCGTGGAGAAGTACTCCGTATCACCCAAGGCTTTGTCAGGCACGTAATCATAGGGGTTGACCTCCAATTCCAAGAAAATCTTGAGAAAGAAAGAATCCGAATTTGTTCCTAGGACTTATAATTATTAGTGAATTGTTCGTTACAGATGTTGATAGGAGACTTACAAGTGCAAGTCATAATCTTCTGATGATAATCACCCTCAGGGCGGTTTTCCGTTATGTCATGCCAAGTGAATGTTCAACTTACCTGACCACGTCTGCGAGGCGGTGGAGACGGCAAAGGAAAAGTAATGTATAATTCAGATAATCGACCCGAAATATAAGGCCTTATGTCAAAACAAGAAAGGATGGCTTGTGGCTCTCGAAGGTGCCTGATAGTAGTACCTGAGTCAGTCATGTTTGGTGCTAAGCAGATGAGATACAGAGATTTTTATCTTATCTGTTCCGCTCCAACCTATTTACTGGTTCGGAGCAGGGCTGGGCGCTCTCAGGTATGCTCGGCATTCTTGGCAGCCAAGTTTCCGTCGCAGCAAATGAGACACTCCCGGAACCATGCTCTCTCTCTGTCTCTAAAACCTAGCTCACAGGTGAAGCGAGCATGGCAAGTCGCACAGTTCAGTACTAAGCTCCGCATCGTGAGCTTCTCTTCGCTCGCTCACGGCTCAGAGTCTCCCTCCGAGATCAAGTTGAAACCTTTACTTATAAACACAGACCACATACGCAATTTGAGATTATGTTGGTGGTGCAAGTAATATGACCTGGTAGTACCTTTCCGATATCGGCTTCGCTGGCTTCGCTGCAAGACACTAAAGGCAGAAAGATCTTCCGCCCAGATTATGCTATCCGAGGTGCTCATCCATTACTACTGGTTCTGGCATCTGTGGGAATACTGTGGCAGACTTCGACCATTTCTGGAGCTGTAGATTGGCAAATGCATTGAAAAGTGGGATTTATAAATGGCTTACCTTGGCTCGCGGTTTGCCAGATAATCATCTTTCTAAACTCGCCTACGTTCCTCAGAGTGTCAGGGTCTACCGAACTTGGAGCCTCATTCAGAGCACATCGTGCTATCAGTAGAACAATTTCGGGGGCACGAGAGTGCAGACATGGTGAGCGCAGAGCGAAATGCCTTCATACTATCCAAATAACGCTGACCGGGTGACTCTAGAGTCTTTTACAGTCGCAATTCGACCACCACCTAAACTATCGGTTTGAACCACCATTTCCTTAATAGGTCTCCGTGCATTCTGACCACCATAAGATGGGGACTCTATGGATTCTGGGGCGCCATACTATGTATCGGCACCAGCATTCGTCTTGCGAAGCTACTGTTCGCCAAACAACTAACGACTCAGCAAAGAGATGTCGAAAGTAATGAGAGCTTACCATGCAGCAAGTATCGTCGACGATGGCCTTTCACTTACCTCCAGTCAATCTCCGATGCAATCGCCACGAATCTGACTTTACCGCCGGTGTTCGGATCCCACCATCAACGGCTCCTTTGGTGGTGCTATATCCCAATGCGCCTGGAAGCCATGGTGGTTTTGGCCTTCTGGATTCTCAATCTCATTCTCTGTAGTGTCTCCTTTGAGACGGAGGACTCGCTGTACAATACTAGGTATTGTCAACGGCACTCCCAGTTAGGGAGGATGATAGACTGACACGTCTACAAGTTACACGACGTCGACGCAACTATACAGATTCATTGCGGATCGTGCTGGGATTATGGCATTTAACAATATACCGATCCTATGGGTGTTCTCGCTGAGAAATAACTGCTTTATATGGCTTACCGGCTGGAGTTTTTCGACGTTCATGACGTTTCATCGCCACATCTCACGAATTGTTATGATCCAAGTCATCGTCCATGCTTCCACATATTCGGCCTATCAAGCTTCTTGTAGGTTTAGCACTATCTCCTCTTAACCAGACCACTAGAGAAGCTGAACTATCCCGCCAGTTAAATACTTAACTGCATCTTGGAATGAACATTACTGGCAGATGGGCGCCATGGTATGCTAACCCTAAGCCTGTCCTTTCTTTCAGATCGATGTCGGGTAGTCTAAGAAAGAGAAATTTATCTAGGCTATCCTCGCAATGGGTTTCATCCATATCTCCTCATCCGTCTACTTTCGCATCAAGTTTTATGACTTCTTCCTCATATCACACAAGGCACTTTCTATTGTCTTTCTTGCAGGATTATTCTAGTAAGTCTCCTCTTCTTCTGCGTGCCCATGCTGACTGACAATCACCTACAGTCACGTTGGCCATTTCACCGGGAATTATGATCCATTTATTTGGCCTCTTGTCGGAGTCTGGGTGTTTGATCGTTCTGTCCGAATCATCCGTTTGGCATATTGCAACATGACGCTCTTTCGTTGCAGGATCAGCAACAATACGATGGCAACCTATAGCAAGCAGTCTGGCCTAATTAAACTCGAAGTAACGACGACTTCGCGACTTCTGAAGGGCGGAGCAGGGCGACACTTCTTCCTTTACCAGCCATTGAAGTGGAGAGGCTGGGAAAGCCATCCCTTCACGTTGGCAGGCTGGAGCACAACTAGTTCTGCAGATGGACTGGATACAACACACCCCAGTGAGCTGCCAGAGAAAGCCCAAACAAGCACCACTGCAAGATTGTTCGCTGACGGTGACACCATACCATCATCGTCAGTGAAAACTCTTAAGCATCACGATGGGGGTAACCGTGTTGAAATAGGTGGATCTTACGCAAAGAAGCTGACTTTCTACATTCGACCTCGTGCTGGCTGGACAATGCGGCTCCGTGATGAGTGTTTAAGGGCGCCGCCTGGGTCCGTGGTCACTACCATGCTGCTCGAGGGCTCCTACGGACAGACAAGCCCGATTCACACGTTTGAGAACGTGGTTTTCATTGTCGGGGGAAGTGGCATCACGGTCGCGATGTCATATCTCCAGGAATACGCTGACAGAGCCAGAGCACGACAAAGTAGTATTGGTACCGGCGATAGCTCACGAACACGGCAGATCACTCTGGTCTGGGTAGCGAGGCAGCCTTCCATGATGCGAGAGATTATTACAGCTTCTGAGTTCCGGTCCCTTTGTCGACGAGAATATGTACAAATGCTTCTCTTTTCTACTTGTCAGGAAGAAGAGTCTTCAGACGGCAAAGAGCCTGATAGACAAGAGAAACCAGGTGATCAAGAAGAAGACACTCCTCTGCGAATCACGTATGGGCGGCCAAACATCACAAATGAGATCTCCAGTGCCATTAATAATGTCGCAAACTTACATTCAGAGACACAGATTGCTGTCATAGTATGTGGCCCAGCGGCCATGGCGGATGAGGCCCGAGACGCCGTTCATAAGACATTAAAAGAAGGGAAGTGTTTCATCAAGTACTTTGAAGAGAAATTTGGGTACGTCAAATACTTGAAACGAGTAGGCACCGATAAATAATCAAAACTAACCCGTGTTCTAGGTGGTAAATATTCTGGATTAAAGCTCTAATTGAGATACTATAGCTGTGACTAGAGTCTGGAGCCAATAACTAGTTACTTTACCCTCAGTCACATTTCCCTCACTTCAGCACTTACAACTCCTCTTTTACTTTGAACCCTCGCCACGATGATAAGGAGGACCTGTCAAGCATTGGCACCTTCTTGGCATGTCCCCCAACTGGTGGGCGGATCAGGACGGAACTCGCCAAGAATGAAGAACATGAACCAAAAGCTAAGCCAGGTAACTGCACAATGATCAGTGTGATCTTGGCTTCTTGAGGGTCTCCTCGGAGCTCCCTTGGAGCTTTTTTATAAACAAGACCCAATGACCCCGCCATCTCAGGCTTGTTCTTCAGAATTTTCCCATCAGTAAAATCCACGATGCTCTTTGAACTAGGATTGATCGTAGCTCTTACAACCGCCGTCGCGTCGGAGACAGTCCACGGCGTTGTGGCCTTCACCAGGCATGGCGACCGTACAACTCGCATGTTCCCTGGCTACGATCTGACCCATCTCGGCGCGCAACAGGCTTACAACTCTGGACAGTTCTACCGTCAACGATATGTAGCAGACAATGCGTCCTTCCCAATTGCCGGAATGGCGCCCGACAAGGTTAACAGTCGACAAGTCTGGGCCAGCGCCCCAAACCAGGGTCTACTCCTCCAGACTGCCACGAACTTCCTCCAGGGACTGTACCCGCCCTTGAGCCAACTGGACGAAGCCATGGCGACCGAAGCCTTGACCAACGGAAGCAGTTACACCGGACCGCTTGACAGCTACCAGTTTATCCTGATCCAGGGCCAACCAGCAACCAGTCAAGACACCATCTGGATCAAAGGCGACGACAACTGCCCTTTCCATATTGCTTCCCAGAAGTCCTACCTGAAAACCCCAGAGTACCAGACCGTCTTCAACGAAACTCTAAAATTCTATCAACGATTTGTGCCGCTCCTCAGTGATATCCTCGGTGACGACGGAGTCAGTTACGAGAACGCCTACGAGGTTTTTGATCTAATGAACGTGGCCTCCATCCACAATGAGTCCATCGCCGGTAAGATCGAAAGCTCGGATCTAGATCAGCTCCGCTATCTTGCAGACATGTGGGAGTATAATACGAACTTCAATGCTTCTGAGCCCGCAAGGATGATTGGTGCTAAGACTTTAATTGGTGGTATCCTGCGACAAATGAACACAACCGTCGCGTCCGGGGGCCGGAGCAACAAATTTCAGCTCTTCTCCGGATCCTATGACACCTTTATTTCCTTCTTTGGCCTCACCGACTTAACCTCGGTCAGCCCTGACTTCCACGGCTTGCCCGACTATGCCTCGACCATTGCGTTTGAGCTATTCACTGAAGATGGCGATAGGGACAGCCCTGCTAACTTCCCCTCGGCAGACGCGGTCAATGAGACCCTATAAGTCCGCTTCCTATTCCGCAACGGCACTGATGGTGCCGCTGAACTTGGTGCCTTTCCCCTGTTTGGTGGTGCCGACCTTGCTATTCCCTACGGACAGTTCAGAGAGCGTATGGAGTCCATCGGCATCACCTCGGTTGGCCAATGGTGTAATACCTGCGGCTCCTCCCAGGACTTCTGTGTCGCGGCCAACGAGACATATTCAGGTTTAAGGGGCGCTTCCACCTCGGGCAGCTCATCGTCGGGTCTCTCCAACGCCGCTGCCGGCGCTATTGGTGCCGCTGTCACGCTAGGCGTCATTACGATTGTCGGAGCTACCATCTACATGCTCCATCGCTCGCGCCGAAAGACCCAGACTTCGGCGGGGCGGTCGACCTCATCTGAGAAACGCTCCGACAGCGATTCCGTGTAGATTCGTCAACCTTTTTCATGATTTAATGAACAGACACACAGATGGAAAGGTATTTAATTACTTTGTAATTTCCCACGCTTACAGGCTTTGACTTAATTAGCGACCGGCCTCGGGGCAGTCACTATGTATAGCAAGATACCTCAATGAGCATTAATAATGTAATGCGACCTTGTGCTTAACCCTAACCCGCCAAGGTGACCCCTCCCAATCGATAATGTATCACTCATGTGTACACAAACGAACAGCAGGTGGAACATCGTTAAGGCGGGCCGTGCAGAAGTGGTGGTACTATGCATTGATCATGGGCGAGTCAAACCTGAAGACTCACTATATCAATATGTCCTAATGTTAGCTAACAGAACGACACTGTTTTTTACTGACGTTAATAGTTAATATCTCGTTAGGCTACTTAGCGCCTCTTGAAATACTTACGTATAATAACTAAAATCTGTCCTAAAATAACCTTTAATCTTACCTTACTAAGTTAATTAAAGCACTTTTTCGCTATTATTATGCTTTACAAAATTCCGTAAAAACCTTATTTTTTTATAACATGTAAAACTAGGCTGCGCAATGGGTAGAGTAACCTGAACCCAAACCCCGATACCTGACCCTAATGAGTAAGGTAGGGTATAACTTTTTAATATATAGGTACCCATGGGTAAGGTAAGAATTTTATCACGGGTACCCAAAACCCGATTTTCACTCATTTAAGAGAAAATTTTAATTATTACATAGATTATTACTATTTTTAGTAATTTTTTACTTTTTTATAGACTTCAGGGTATCTTGGCATTACCTTACTCTACCCTAAACCCGCGCGGGTACCCGCGGGTAGGGTACTTAATTTTAAAAAAACCCTAATAAGTACGCGGGTAGGGTAAGACTCTCTTAATGGGTTATTTTACCCTACCCATTACACAGTCTACCTATAATTAATATGAGAGTGAGTTAAAGATGGTTAGGTCGGATTTAGTGCGTTATTAGACCATATATATTATTAGACTATATAGTACTCTAGAAGAAAGAGATAATTTTATATCTATATTCTTCTTCTTCTATAACTTTAAAATCTTACTCTTTAAACTATTAAGTAATATTACTTCTTTTCTATTTAGTATATTACCCTTAATAATATTAAGTTAGTAAAATTTAGTATTTAAGTAAAGAGATAATCTATTTAAGTTATAAATACTAACTATACTTTTTCTAGATATAAATTATTATACTTATTATATACTTTATACTTATTATACTTATTTTAGAAATAAATTATTACGCTTATTATATAACTTAGCTAACCTTTCTTATTTTTAAAAAAGTAATAAACTTTAATCTTATATAACTCTCTTAATTTAAGAGATATATAAATAAAATATATATTATTCGAAAGCTCTAAATGAGATCTATTAAATAATATAACAATTAAAAAATTATTCTTATGTTTTCACTTTAAACCTAAGATAAAAGATATCACTAGATAATTAATTTATTCTTAGTGGCTTAGTAGTATTTCTAGTAGGAATACTTAATCCTTAAGGATAGGCTCCTAGGTATTCACCCTCTCTAGCGCTAAGAGTCAGCACGTTAACGTGTTATTCATTCATGGCAAGAGATTTCTATCAGAGTTTAGTGTTGTATTTTCTCGGCTACGAACATGTCATGAGTAAACAGAACAGAGAACAGACAACATCTCAAGACTTCACGCCAAGCGTACCTGCCAAGCACGCAACGCCAAGAGAACTCAGGGGAACCGCACAACTATCGCAGGCTTCCCGCATAAGGAACTTCTCTTCCTTATGCTTGGAGTTCTTGTAACTAGAGCACCTAGATAGGAAGACCTATTTTTATTGTGTTATTACTCTGCCTATTCTATAGGCCGTTCCTAACAGAACAGAAAGAAGGGTCTAACGTCATAGATAGCCCCTTTCTGATCCCATGTTACACAGCACAGAACTCGGGCTTTATGCCAATCTGCATCGCTGGTTTGGGGATGTCGGCGACTTCGGGGATATGAGGGAGACCAGTGCACCACCCGACCTTCAATCCCTTCCTTCCTGCCTGCTATGTGGGCAGTGCCTCCTAAGTTGGCGCTAGAGTTTGCAAAGTTAAACATATCCACGCAAGCTGTACTGCCTGCCGAAGCTTGATGTTCCCACCAAAACGGTCAAAATAAATAAGCTAATCTACTTATATCATCTTGATACCTCCAATGGTGGTCACGCTGTTCTTGACCCTTGTAATTCGCTTGGAGGAACCCCGTCCTTAACGCCTGCAAAGCATATAGATAGGAGGTATTCTTAAGACAGTGTCCACTGTAGCGTGAGAATTCAGACTTGGGGATTGCTGGTATAGCTGATAGATTTTGTGACATGCTTGTTACCTACTCATAACTCTCTGCCTGAAGGCCTACCTGTGTTGGGCTATAATACCATAATCCTTTTCGAGCCCAATTAATGCTTGGCGTATATGGGTGCTATAGAAGATTGGTGAGGTAAGGCTGTATTTATAAAAGGGAAGACTCCTCGGGTCTCCATGTCACCATGTAGACAGCTGAGAGAAAAACAAAGCATCTTTTGCTATCCTAAAGAGCGTATGACCTCCATGCTGGCTACTTATACACACCGCCTTGATCCTCGCCAACCCCAGTGCAATATCCTACAGTACAGGCTCAACAAACCTCTTCTGATACTGTACTCGTTGTACGGCGCTTCCGCCAAGCAAGTTTAGAAATCAGGGGTTCTGACTGCCCAGGCATAGCTGATTGATCAGGTTCGCAAACTACATATCAGCTAGAGAACATCTCAGCTGCTGGACTTCGATAGTTGGAAAGATTTGTCGTGCTACTTTATTGGTCCTGCCATAATAGTTGGTGCAAAATACGCAAGACACGATTCGGGGACCAAGCCCGAGCAACGGTCGATGCCTTTCTTCACAATCCCCGTTCATAATTTACCCGCATAAAATCTCATTGAATCTCCCCCGGTCACGACATATCCAGCCTTTCTCTGGCAAACTGCCTGGGCAAGGGCCTATCCTATCGCCAGAAAATCAGGAACAGGGTTAGGGCTTAAGACTTTCCCGGGAGTGCATTTGTTATGACATGACAATTCGCCGTCTCCCATGAACCAAACCACTGTTCTAAATCAATTTTGGCAAAACGATCGCCTGGAGCATGCTCCCATAACAACCTTCAACGGCGAGAATGATAATTTCTATCAGCACAACCGAAGTACATGCCGGATTGACAGTGTCGACGACAACAGAGTATATCAGTTAATCTGGGAAGACAAGACAATTGTCGATCCCGAGTTGGGACGATTCTGTCAGGAAAATTGGAGTGTCGCGTCGGTGTTGCACCTTTACGGTCCTATACTTCTAAGTGATACGTCTTATTAATCTAAACGTTCGGGATTTAGGGGACTAAATTTTCGAAAAGCAACTGGGCGTTGACAAAGCACTGCGATCCATTCAGCAGCCCGACGTGTAGTTACCGAAGCGCGGGGATACCTCACTGGCGGCGTGCTTTGTGGGAAGCCACTACATATTTAATTCATCTCAAAACACAGACTGCTCCCCAACTCTTCTCTTCTGCCATCTATGCCCTTCAGTGCCTCTTTCCAAGACGAGAACAATCTGAAGCAAGATGGAATCCGAAAAGCTCTCAGGTGATGTCGAGAGCCAGCACCCACCCCATGCACATCTCATTAACGACGTGGTGCAGACGTTCTCATGGAAGCAACTCAATGTAGTGGTCAAAGACCGCAAGACCAAAAAGCCATTGTCGATCCTGGAAAACTCCAATGGCATCGTGCACGCCGGCGAGATGATTGCAATCATGGGTCCTAGCGGATCTGGCAAAACTACACTACTCAACGCGCTCGCTCACCGGGTCGCAACCGCTGGGGCGAAGACAGTCGGCGAGATCTTAATCAACCATCAGACCCCCAGCCTCCAAAAATTGCAGGATGTTTCAACCTACGTGGAACAAGAAGATGCCCTCATTGGAAGTTTGACTGTGCATGAGACGGTCGACTTCGCTGCCCGTATGGCCCTCTCAAGCTCCCTCGGCAAGAATGAACGACTTCTACGCGTCGACGACTTGATCTCCAGCTTTGGCATGCAAGGCCAACGTGACACCATTGTCGGCACTCCCATCAAAAAAGGCCTCAGTGGTGGCCAGAAAAAGCGCCTGGGTGTCGCCAGCCGCTTGGTGACCGAACCCAAGATCGTGTTCCTCGACGAACCCACGAGCGGTCTGGATTCTTCTCTCAGCTTCGAAATCATCAGCTATCTCAAGACGATTGCGAGGAGGAACAATGTAAGACTTCTGATCCTACACATGCCCCTTTCTGCGCAGTGACTGACATGTCGTCCTCATCCAGCTCCTCGTCATCGCTTCCATTCACCAACCTTCCACAACCACATTCAACTTGTTTGACAAATTATGTCTCTTGTCTAGAGGACAGACATGCTACTTTGGCGACCTGGCCGAAGCACGGCCCTATTTCTCAAACATTGGTCTCGAAATGCCGGAAGCGACGAACCCGGCGGAGTTCTACCTGGACCTGATCAACACCGACTTGGCTAGAGAAGGCGACGAGACTTACCAGCGGTTGCAGCGTATAATCCAAGCATGGAAAGACTCACCCCAATGGAAGGTCCTGGAACGCCAGTTGAAGCGAGAGCATGCTGCTGGCCACGGCGATGCCATGGTGACAGACCTTGCAAGCATCAAAACGGAGCGGCCGAGTTCATGGGCGACGTCCGTGGTTCTCTTGAACCGGGGCTGGATCAAAGCCTATCGCGACTTCGTGGCCTACGGTATCCGCCTCGTCATGTACCTCGGCCTCGCCATCCTGATGGGCACAGTGTTCCTCCGTCTCAAAACCACGCAGAGCCACATCCAACCATTCATCAATGCCATCTTCTTCGGCGGAGCGTTTATGTCTTTTATGGCCGTCGCCTACGTCCCAGCCTACCTGGAAGATCGTGCCACG